GTGTGTTTTTTTTTTTTTTTTTTTTTTATGAGCGCTGCCAATGAGGAGCACCGCTCGCGAGTCTGTAAACAGGACGGGAGCGCTGCGAGCGAGCGGGGCCGCTCGCTGTTTACCTTGGCAAGCCCTGGCCCCAGCGTGTCCGCGGCATCCCTTAATTACTGTTTACATGCAAATATTAAATTATACCAAAAAGACCCCCACCCCTGCAAGAACGTCTCCAAAAGTACAGAAATACATATTCAGGGTCAACCTTATCTGTCCGCAACAGTCGCCGCCGCCAAGATATGTATTGTTTTGAATCACAAATGTTCCCGCATTGTACATAATCTTCATAATTGCTTAATGCTGTTGTCCAAGGGCGTTGGGATGGAAGCCTGCTGCCGCGATCTGCATAATAGCAGATGCTCAGATATGTAAAACTCACCTTGTGTGCTTTCAGGGAGGACAACAATAAAAATAATAAAAAAATAAAGGGCTGTGAAAAAGAGTTTGTTAAGGGCTGCTGCACGAGCGCATTGAGGAGCAGATACGCTAAAGATCAATACATTGACGACTGGAATGGTGTTTGATACTTCACAGCATATATCCTGGCCACCTCTGGATACCATGAAATTATGCTGTCTTTGAGAGTCATCCAGAAAAAGACAAACGATGAATGCGTTGGAAAAACATTGACATGGCACTATAAATCAATAACAACAGTTTTAAAATATATCTACGTTAGGCAATTTTTTTTACTTTTTACGTTACTATTTTATTTTACTTTTTTATTTAATTTAGTGGGTCTAGTTTGTTGAACTCCCATATTTCTGCATGGGGAATGAAGAAAGGGGAACGACTCCTCCACTAGTAAAACTGGACCACAAAAACTCTCATTGATCGTGCACATTGAAAAATGGCAGCACGGTGAGACAGTGGTTAGCATCCGCTTTCAGTCAAGAGGTCTCGGGTTCCAATCTTGTCTAAGTTCCTTGCTCTTTCCCAAAAACATGCACGCTCGATTCATTAAAGACTAAATTGTCCATCGGTGTAGATGTGAGTGTGAATGGTTATTTGTCTTTTGGACACAAGTGACTGACTGGCCACTCGCCCCAAAGTCACGGAGGCCATTGACCACAAAACAACAGTGTAGTTCTGGTACTCCAGAGTCTCTATTCAGTCAGCTCCAGGATAACATGCCAAAGTAAATCCAGGAGACCCCGTCTTTCTGACTGATGCAAGTGATGTGGTTTTCGCAGAAGTAATTCTGATTCTGTACACCCAAAACGCCTGTACAAGGTAATGCGATCCCATAAAGAAGATTTGCTTGATTGGGTGTATTTTAGTCCAAATATGTAGTGTGATTATTTTTGCCTTTGAAGTCCTGTTTTTTTCCGATGGGCATTTGAGAAAAAAAACAAAACAACAACAACAAAAAAAAAACAACGTTAAAGACACTTCCCTGACATTGATGCTCTGCCTATCATTAAAAGTTTTCTTGTCTTCATCTACGCTGACTTTAATGCCGCGTGTTGTGTTGGGTCCTCCCGGTGTCCTTGGCGCTTCGCAGCTTCAAACGGGGTGCTGACTACCTGACTTTTTTTTTTTTTCCTGGACGAAGGAAGCGAGATCATTAGCCATCAGAGCCCCTGAAATGTGACTTGGCAGACAATAATGCTTTGTGATCAAACAACTTGTCAGTGCGTGCCGTTGAAATGAAAGAGTGCAGAAAAAAAATAATAATTCAATAGAGGATCAATCAAATTTCTTCTTGCACCATGTGAGCAGGAATGCTGATGGTGCAAGAGCGGGGACGCGGGGAGTTCATTTGGATATTTGTTCTTCGCTCATGAATGTTCCATCGCGTGACACCAGCTCCCCGCTAATCACATTTCACTCAGGTGGGTGGTGGTGGTGGTTTGGTGTGGGGGCTACGGGGGGATGCTTTTAGGGACGTTGAAAAGAGAGAGGTTCTTTTTAATCTTTGAAATGCCTCAAAAGTGACAGAATGCTCTCTCCTGCCAAGACGGAGAGCGTCGGATGGGGAGATAAATATGCTGTGGTCAGCTAAGTGTATCTAGTGAGCAGAGAGGCAAATTTAATAATGCATTATCATTCACTGGCGAAGGTGAAATCTGCCTGTCCATCAGGAGGCTCGGCCCTGTTTCATGTTACCCTTCAGTGCAAATGAACAAGTGCTTTACTCAGCCAGAGCAGAGATGCACACGAGGCAGTGCGCAGAGCCCCCGCTAAATATGGAACATCAGGAAAAAACAAAAACACTCCGGAGATGAATGATCAAGCGCCTCAATTCCAAATCCAGTTTTGATTGTAACACCGAAAGTTATCTTAAGACACTTTTAACCCTTGTGGCAGGTTTTGGAGTCGTTATATTTCACCCTAGCTGCCTTTAGTTTGTTTTAACGGAACTCTGGTTGGTTTCCCGGTTTGGTGCGGTTCAGTTGGAAACATGGCAACACAGTCAATGAACGCTGGTGCAGATAAATACAAACTGTCTAAGAGCAGGTTTCGGTATTGAACAAATCTCCTCCCAGGTATGAAGTAAATGGGTATGAAAATTTATGGTAACATCAATGAATTTGACGTTAGTAACAAAATGGTAGACCTCAGCGATATTCATAGATACTGACATCCTGTTTTTAACGTAAATATGAAACCTCGAGATTGATCATTATTCCGTGGCCGGAAATATTGACATACTCCGCCTTGTTCCTAAACCATGGCGACTAATGCAAATAATCCCGACTGGAATTTCAGCAACTCTGGAAGATGGTTGCAACTCATTGGTGGCAAAACACTGCCCCCGCCACATGGGATTTACACGCATGGTTCGATGTACATGGATGTGGCTGGCATTTCAAACACTCTCCCAAAAAAATGAAATGATGTCAAGCCGTTTGATGTCCGGAGTGAGTTTTATGGCCAAAGACTTTCAAATCTCCCCCCGCCCCGTCACCACCGTTTGTCGAGGCTACCTGCTGTTTTCATGAGACAGAGGCTTGTAGGAAGACTTTTTTTTTTCTCTCGTTTGAAGCTGTTCAATTAGTCACATGTAAGATAGCTTTATACTTTAAACATCATCTAATCTTACTCCTTGCTTTTTTTTTTCCATCCAAGATTTTTTTTTTTTTTTTTTTTTGGACCAATGACAGAAAAAAACAACAACAACAGCCTCAGACCATCTGGCCCATCTGCGTTGGGTGACACAACTTCGGAAAAAGGCTTGACAACAAACAGCCTTTGTCCCGCCACGGTGTAGATGACATTGCAGCGTCTTTTCGGGAAACCTATTTAAATGGAGTCCTTTCACTGGCGTTCCCCGCTGCGCCCGAGATTAATTGAACGCTCGGCCAGGATCGTAAAGATCAAACAAGTGGGGGCGATATCATTAAACCATCGGAATGCTATCTCTAAACAAACCGACGTGACAAACGGGGCCCTAATTAAAAAGCCGGCCATAAACAAAGCCTCCCGAACAATAGTTTATATTATTCATCTAACGCATCGTGTAATATCATTACAGTCGACTATATCTATCATTAATTTTATTCACTTCACTTAAAGCTTTTATTGGAATTACTTTGGTTATTAGTTAGTTCTTAATGTATCGGACGGTGGTGGCGACCATCTCTCTTATCTCGCGGCATAAACCTGTGCATGTTATTCAAATTGCCTCATTTATTATGATAGCTTCCTCATGTAAATTGTGCTGACTGCTCGCCCTTGCGCAGTCCTCATTAGACTAATGAAAAGCTTCAAACGAAAAAACTAAACAAGCTGCCAAATAAAAGGTTCCGGGGTTATTATGAAAATTACAACTGTGCGAGCGGCGAGGAGCTCTCTTCATTAATTCATGCTCAGCAAATTGCTAACTAATTTGGTTGCACTCCTCTGCATTAATGGGTTATTTTATGAAAAACTAAAAAATAAATAAATATGTATTTTTTTTTCCCCCACAGTGCAAGACCTCACAACAGAGCAGAATCCTAATCAAGTCGATATATCGGGAGTTGACAACACGGTGAGGTTAAAATGAGGGAGGGTGGTCTGGTTTGACTGTTACCTGCCATTGGTTCTTTTTTTTTTTTTTTTTTTTTATGGTTCCCTTGTGTCCATCTTCGAACCATATCGAAACTAAACTGTGTTAACGTTGACTATAACCTTGACCCCAGCCCATACTTGGACACATCTTCACGTCACAACTCAAAAGAGATTTGATTGGACTCCGAACAACAGCAAGAAGCAATTTAATGATTGAAATATTCAACGTGTTGATGCAGAATTCAAATTTTTTGAATGAATCTGTTTACCAAAGCCTCTGGCAAAAGTTAATATTGAAGAATGTTTTATTTTAGGAATATTCAATGCTCTTTCACTGAAGTACTGTTTTTATTATTTCAGTGAATGTGATATTGTTTTGGAAATGCCCAGAACCAATCAAAACCTATATACTTATAACAAAAGCAACAACAACAATAATAACAATTAAAAAATAAAAATAAAAAATAATAATAAGAAGAAGAAATAGTGATAGTTGTAGTAGTAGTAGTAGTGTATTCGTGTAGTTGTTGACAAATGTTTTACAAAGTACAATGTATATAAATACCTAAAGATTTTTGGGGAAATAAAATCTAATCAATTTTGTAGTGGTTTTGTTTTTTCAATTGTGTAAAACATTATTCTTTTATATTTTTTATTCCACAATCTATTTTTTAAATTTTGTATAAATGGTAATGAAGATTGGCATAAGTAGCAGAAAAAAAAAATCAGAAATACACAAACAGCCGCTATGTCCTTCAAACATTAAAATGTGGCAATATCGAATATTTTGTTATGTGATTTGCCGGTGATGCCCAGTAGTCAAAGCCAGACATTAAAACAAAAACAAAAAAAGTAATTGCATGCCATCCATCCTGTTATCCAAGATTCATACCACTGCACTATAAGGAGGATCTGTTCAAAACACACACACACACACACACACACACACACACACACACACACACACACACACACACACACACACACACACTTTAGGTGACCCATAAATTGTGTTCATGATCTTGCTAATTATTCCGATGCACTGCTTCGCAGGCTGCGAGTGAAGGGCTAATAGTGATTTTCATGTCAGACTATCCAACAGGGAGCAAAGTGGATCCCGGTGATGATTTCCACAGTGGTTCTCATATCATTATCACCTCGCCCCACCCCGCATCACCCAGAGTGCAGCATTGCAACCTACTCTGATCCCTTTAAACCAATGGAGAATACTACAAATCTATTATTTGCTTCACTTTCTATGACAAAAGATCATTTTTCTTTTTTTTTCGTGACGTAATTAATGAAACTATTCAAGCCCGGGTGATATGACCGGGGTACATCTCTTGAACATGTCCCCTCCCATGTGTCAAGCAAATGGGAATCAGAACCTATGGTCATATCAATTAATTTGACTTTTGTAACGAAACCGGTAGACCTCCACCTCCTAATTTAGATCAACGATATAAATGGAACACCTTCATAGATACTCACATCCTGCTTCAATTTGAATATTAAACTTCGAGATTGATCATTATTCAGTGACAAATTCGCCTTTTGCACCATTTCGTCACACTATTTTTTTTTAATGGATTGCCGTTTTTCGGCAATTCGTGTTGACATACTCAACTACAAATGGAAGGAAGTGCTTATTATTCAATATTAACACATTTACAGAATCCTTAAATATTGCCACAAAATGTTACCAGTGTGTTAACTCAAGCGGAAGTGTAGTTCATTACGTTTTTTTTTTTTTAATAAGATAGGAGTCAAACAAACACATATATTAGCTCCCCTAAACATGGATGCACGTAGAATGCAAATCGGCCCTTAAAGATGTCGTCATTGTAGATTAAACATCAGCTTTACAATTGGTTTACAACATGTGGCAATCTCCACACTTAAAATGCATTTGAGAGATGACTCCAGGGTGGCTGTTTTGGTTAACAATGGAGTTGAAATGGGCTTTGCAGTTATGACATTTGCAGTTAAGTTATTTTTGCATGGGCTTTACAAATCAAGATAATTATAGTTACTACCTCATTTATTTTCCTGATAGGAAAAAAAAAAGTAGGCTTTTATTTGTTTTAAGTTGATGATGCACCCAGTGACTAATCAAGTACTGCCCAATCTGTGGGCTCTATCCAAATACCACTGAAAATGTCCATAAAAAGACAGACAACTACCTTGCAGCATTTAATGTTTTCATAATGACTTGGAGATTAAAACCTTTTTTTTTTTCCCACATCACCTTTCACTTTTTTTTTTTTTTTTAAGATCCATTTTCAGATTAATTTTCTGACCTTTAATTTGTATTTAACAAGCTCTGTTATCGGACAATATTTTGACCTTTCACACCTTGCAATCCAGCAAATAGCTTGAGGCGGTACCTTCATATATTATAGTTCCTAAAATAGTGGCTCCTACTCTAATACTCTAATTTGAATCAATTGATTCACAGAAATAAATGGCTCCTTCAAATAATGGTAACTTCCATAGACGTAGTTGGTTCCTCAAATTCTGAGCCTATTCGCTGCACACCAAAACAGCAGCACCACGCAACTTCAAATTGTGGACACTTACTGTTAGTTGAAAAAAACTTCCCTGTACAGTATTAAGTATGATATAATGTACGTTTCATGCTAGTCGACTCTGATGTGATCATTGCACAATGTTGCGTGCATCAAATTTGCTTGCTTTTAAATCCTCATTTAATAATTCAATTTCACCCCCCCAAAAATACTGATGAATAGAACCCAACTCACCTTTTTCTGCATGCATCCTCTTCACTTCGTGACTCATGTCATGGGCCAGGTCTCCCTCCTTAGGCCCAGGCGGGATGTTGGGGGACAAGCCGAGCAGGGCTTGGTTCATGGACAGGCCGTTGTGGTGTGGTGCTGTGGACAAAAAGGAACCCGGGCGGCCATAAGGACGTGTCTTCAAAATGCAAATCATGAGCCACAATTTGACGAGGATACGTACGTATCCTGTCTGAAGAGCTTTCCGTATGGGCGGGCGAGCTGGACACACTGCTGCTGCGGTGAGACGACGGGTGACTGCCGGGCCTTCGGTGGTCCTCTAAGGACGGGACAGGGGAGGGACTATCCTGAATGCGCTCCTGCAAGCCCTGCAGTGACAACACACAGCCCTAAAATAAATTCAGTAAATTCATTAACTCCATAACAGAAATCCCTCATTTATCGTGGGTGTAGTGTTTTTTTCAGGCCCAAGCATTTAAAAAAATATGTATTTATTTAAATGTTTTCTTACATACAACTGACAGTTTTTAGAAATACTGTATGCCCTGCGATTGGCTGGCAACCGGTTCAGGGTGTCCCCAGTCTACTGCCCGAAGATGGCTGGGATAGGCTCCAGCACCCCCCGCGACCCTTATGAGGATTAAGCGGATCAGAAAATGAATAAATGGATGTATAGAATGTTTTGTGATATGGTGGGTTTTGTCATGGAGAAAATTTGGCAAGCTGTACAGTGATGGGGCACGGAGACTGTTGACATGAATCTACAGTCCCTTAGCCAATCAGGATGCAGAACAGAATGCAGTGTAAAAAAATGTTTCCTGTAAAGAATTATTTGCTACTTTTTATACTGCATTCCTAATTAATACCATTATTAAGGGCTAAAATCGCCCAAATATATTTCAGCTGTTTTTTTTAAAGCATAGTTCCCCATATTGCTATCCGCTTAGAACTTTTGGTCGGGTCTTTCAAGAACCACAAAATATTGTGTCAGTTGACTCTATAAGCGGGAAACGTACCAAAAGAAAGAGTAGACATACTACTTTCACAAGAAAAACAATTTCAAGCTTTCAAACATGTCAAGCAGAATCGTGACTGAATTTGTGGCTTCGGTGTAATCGTTTACTTTGAAACCACAAAAACAAGATCAAGAACGGGCTTTCCCCACCGCGACACATGGTCTACTCTGTTTAAACCATGCATAATTATACATCATCTATTTGACTATGATGTGACTAAACTTGTCCAACTTCTAACATACTGCCATTTCTTTCCCACTCAATGGACGTGACAAGCCGAGAATTCCCTTCAGCAAGTCCTTACCTTCTACTCAAAAGCAGTAACGGTATTGATCTCTGATCCAAAGTGATGAAACATTATCACTGACATAGATCTGTTAGTTACTACAGTAGTTTGCAAACATGCGTTTTGCAGACAAGCTGGGTGAGACCCTCGTCCATGCCTAACTGCTGAAAAACATACAGTACTGGACGGACATATACAATGATGGCAGTCAACGGGTGGATTCCAGTTGACGAGAATAAACGGCGGTGAATGAGTGAATGTCTACATCTGAGGCGTTCAATGTGTGCAGTCATTTTTCAGTGACTTAATTTTGTCAAATCAGGGCGAATATGGAAAAGAAACCTTTGATGTGTTCAATAAGTGCACCTGTATAAAAAGTTACCTTAATGACAGAGGTGACCATTCTCGAGGGTAGGCTCTGGCCCTGTGCCGCAGCGGCCATGTTGGCGATGGTGCTGAGATGGTTCATCTGGCTCATGGCCATCGTGACGGAAGCTGGAGGCAGGCTGACGGGGATCAGCGGGTGAGGCATCATCATAAAGGGCAGTTCCAGGCCTGAGACGACGTGAAGAGGAGGTCATTGGTTACTCAACGATGCGTTTCATCACCAAAAGGGGCAAGCGTTGCCGAAAGATATTTTCCGATGCTGCAATTCTCACCCATCAAATACCCCTTAAAAAGTCCAATAACACTTAAGATGGAGCAATTGAATAATTCGCCGTGTTAACATAACTGACATCAATGTTTTACTATGCGTTAATAATAGAGAAGCAATGCAATAATAATCGAGAAGGGGGGGGGGGGATCAAAACTATCCACACAGTCGTTCATGCACCAAAGTTTACACTGCAATAAAAAGGAATCAATTATTCTCCGCTGAATAAAAAATATGGGAACATTATGGAAATTATCTCAATATTTAAATATAAAAAACGGTCTTAAAAACAAAGGCAATCTTGAAAGCCACCATTATTAGTTAAGCACGCTAATGATGAATGCAATCTGAGGTTATTATATCGGCCTATCAGTGGGCATAATGAAGGAATTTACTCCCTTTCATGTGTGTGTGTGTGTCACACACACACACACACACACACACACACACACACACACACACATATATATATATATATATATATATATATATATATATACACATCCACACACACATTATTCCATTTCGGGATGAGACATATCTTTTAAATTATTCAATTGCAGTCCGCCGATAGACGCCTAATTGGGGGAAATTGAAGACGTTTAAATGGCAAAGAGAGTGGAATAATAAAGACACTGCGGGGGGTTCATAGTTAGCAGCGCGCCGTGCTTCTTTCATGAAAACAGGGCAACTTTTAGAAGGTCACAGTTCGGTGTCTGCGCACCCCTCCAGCACCCCGCCCTTCCCTATCGTCCGTCCCCACTCGCCTTGATGGGGACTTTGAACGGCTGAGGATCAAACGTGACTGTGAACAGTTTGGTCTCATTCCTGTGCCGCTCGCTTTAAAGGCAACCTCATAGACGCTCAGATACTGATTGAGCTTTTTTTTGTTGTTGATTTTTTTTTCCTTTCTCTTTCTCTCTCACTTGGCAGACCAGTTCAAGGTAAAAAAAAAAAAAAAAAAGCTGATATGCAGAAAAACAACTCTGACAAAACATCAGTCGTTAAAGGGCAAGGAGATCTACATGGCGACAACTCGAAAGAGAAGGACACTGGTTGGAAATGAAAGGGCTCCTTTTTCCAAAAGCAAGCATTGATTTCCATAAGAAAGATGCCTCGGCGGAGAGTATTCGCAAACAATATAAAGGATTAAAGCAAGCACCTTGTATCAGTGCTTGGACTGAATCAATTACCGCGCAGCAGGCAGAGCTCAATTAAAGCGTTCCCCCCCCCCTCCCCGCCCAAAAAAACAAAAAAACAACAAGGGTCTGATTGGGGGGGTGCTTAGTATAGGACATCATGGAGAGGGTTTTGGCAACCCATTCAAGGCTCCTCAGGGGCCGCTCAGGTGGGATGCATAACACCCAGGGCCAAGCGACTCCTCCCTTTCCAAATATACAGAGAACTCGCCACCACTTGTCCTTCAGGCGAAACAGTGTACCTCTGTTCAGGGTATTAGTGTCATTTTCAGCAGCTGCCCAGCACCTTTCATGTCCGCCTTGTCCTAAAAAGCCCAACCCCACTTAAAGTTCATTGAAAGGAGTGAAGGAGAATGTGCCACAGGCCAACAAACTTTATTTTGTCGGAGACTGAAAGGATCTATGGGAGCATAATTGCCAAAATTCCTCAATGAGAAATGACCAGAAAATGTGCCGCCCAAGTCTAATGTCCAAAGTCTAAAACAAAATATGTGCAACTGTAGATCATTGCCACAACTAACAAAACCATCTGATGCAGACTGAATTAGAAAGCCTAATTTCCACCAAGCAGTGTGAGTCAGGTCAGTTTGGCACGGTACATATTTTTCAGTATTGCCATAAAAAATTGATTAAAGCTTTGCCATTCAAGATAAGACGGATTTTTTTTTCCTTCAAGTTAAATGTAAGCTCTTTTTAGGACCAATTTAAGACCTTTTTTTTCTTTTTATCTTCATACATATTTCACAGCCATATGGGCAAAGGAAAAAAAACATCTGTGATTTTGTGTTAATTTGTTTCTCAAACATGGAAATGTGGAATGCGTGCACAATTTATAAATGCAGCATGTTGAGTAGGGTTCTCGGCAACAGCAGCACGGCACAGATAAAGAGCGGAGTAAACACAGGCCAAGTAGAGGTGTGAAAAATCAGAACCCCTGACCTCTGAGCACACGAAATGTCGACCGCAAGAGGCAAAATGTGCGAAAGTTGCCAACTGACAACAAATATAAAGCATAAAATACTAAATAAGTCGATATTTTGTAGGCTTAATCAGCATTGTGTCATCTCTTTTCGTCGTGGTTTGGGTGGAAAAAAAAAGTTACGCACGGCAGCTTTAACTTTAAAGTCACCGCAAAATTGAAGATACCTTTGCTATTGCAATTTTCAACCACAGAAGTTAAGAAGTGATGAAGAAGCGAATTCCCGCGCTTCGTAAACAAAGCGTTTGGAATCATTTACCGGAAGTGAGCCTGAGGGAGCCGCAAAGGTGAACTCCGATGTGCCGTCATTAAAACAACAAATCACTTAATACCGACATAAACAGCTCAGCTATTATACTCACGCCTGGCTAAGCAAAGATCGGAATCGGCGGGGACGAACAGAGTGAATTAAAACAGCCCTCAGTGAGAGTGCAATTACTGCAAAGGGCTTGTTATGGCAAACTCAAATTGCATATTATCCCCCAAAAAATGCCAACCAAAGAAAGAAGATTTTCAAATGGCGCTGTTGTCTACGTGGTGGACGGGAATGATATCGGGCACCATCAGTCGTAATCTAAACAGGAAGTCTCCCTTTCTGCGGACAAATATATGAGAACAAGGAAAGCGGAAGCCTCTTACTCTTTTAACTTTGCTGCAGGGAGATTTCCCCTGACAAAAATTAAACTAGATCCTACTTGGCACTTTATTATCTCTTCAATGGAATGATTTATTGTTTGTGGAACCAAGGAAGCACAAAGAGCGAAGGAGGAGATTACATTTCCAGCTAAAGCTCAAGCCTGATCTCGTTTTCCGAGGAATAAAAGGAGGGAAAAAAAAGGTTCCCGACAAACAATAATGTCAGCTGTAATTGATCAGAGGTCGCCGGCTGAGCCCACAGTAACGGTGCACTATTTAAGCGACAATCTGCCCCGACGCTTTTCAGACGCTGGCTAATGAAGCTGTCTGTCTTGGGCTATTTACCTTCTCTTAACTGGACGGCAGGAGATGTACTGTAAGAGACAGCGCCGGAGAGGATCTGTGAAATAGGACCTGCACACGCCTGAGGAATGTCTAATTGGTTGGCGCCGGCCAAGCTTGGGATCTGGCGCTAATTAAATGCCTTGTTTAAAGCCTATCTGTCTTTGTTTGGTGCGTCAGAACACTGCATCCGAGACAAACATTCCTGGCGGTTATGCTTTGAGTTTGATTTCAATTGGACGAGACAAAAGGGCCGACGTGTTTGACCGCTAAGCTTTTTGGGTTGTTTGGTGTTGAGACGCTTCTTCCGTCCCTCTGATCCAGTCAAACTCAACGTGTAAAAAAATGTTTCCTGTAAAGAATTATTTGCTACTTTTTATACTGCATTCCTAATTAATACCATTATTAAGGGCTAAAATCGCCCAAATATATTTCAGCTGTTTTTTTTAAAGCATAGTTCCCCATATTGCTATCCGCTTAGAACTTTTGGTCGGGTCTTTCAAGAACCACAAAATATTGTGTCAGTTGACTCTATAAGCGGGAAACGTACCAAAAGAAAGAGTAGACATACTACTTTCACAAGAAAAACAATTTCAAGCTTTCAAACATGTCAAGCAGAATCGTGACTGAATTTGTGGCTTCGGTGTAATCGTTTACTTTGAAACCACAAAAACAAGATCAAGAACGGGCTTTCCCCACCGCGACACATGGTCTACTCTGTTTAAACCATGCATAATTATACATCATCTATTTGACTATGATGTGACTAAACTTGTCCAACTTCTAACATACTGCCATTTCTTTCCCACTCAATGGACGTGACAAGCCGAGGCGGGGACGAACAGAGTGAATTAAAACAGCCCTCAGTGAGAGTGCAATTACTGCAAAGGGCTTGTTATGGCAAACTCAAATTGCATATTATCCCCCAAAAAATGCCAACCAAAGAAAGAAGATTTTCAAATGGCGCTGTTGTCTACGTGGTGGACGGGAATGATATCGGGCACCATCAGTCTTAATCTAAACAGGAAGTCTCCCTTTCTGCGGACAAATATATGAGAACAAGGAAAGCGGAAGCCTCTTACTCTTTTAACTTTGCTGCAGGGAGATTTCCCCTGACAAAAATTAAACTAGATCCTACTTGGCACTTTATTATCTCTTCAATGGAATGATTTATTGTTTGTGGAACCAAGGAAGCACAAAGAGCGAAGGAGGAGATTACATTTCCAGCTAAAGCTCAAGCCTGATCTCGTTTTCCGAGGAATAAAAGGAGGGAAAAAAAAGGTTCCCGACAAACAATAATGTCAGCTGTAATTGATCAGAGGTCGCCGGCTGAGCCCACAGTAACGGTGCACTATTTAAGCGACAATCTGCCCCGACGCTTTTCAGACGCTGGCTAATGAAGCTGTCTGTCTTGGGCTATTTACCTTCTCTTAACTGGACGGCAGGAGATGTACTGTAAGAGACAGCGCCGGAGAGGATCTGTGAAATAGGACCTGCACACGCCTGAGGAATGTCTAATTGGTTGGCGCCGGCCAAGCTTGGGATCTGGCGCTAATTAAATGCCTTGTTTAAAGCCTATCTGTCTTTGTTTGGTGCGTCAGAACACTGCATCCGAGACAAACATTCCTGGCGGTTATGCTTTGAGTTTGATTTCAATTGGACGAGACAAAAGGGCCGACGTGTTTGACCGCTAAGCTTTTTGGGTTGTTTGGTGTTGAGACGCTTCTTCCGTCCCTCTGATCCA